TTTCCGCGGCGACATCATGCTAGAGGGCAGGAGCCACCCTCAAGAAGGCACGCTTCCTGGGTCCCACAAGATGACCCAGCTTCGTTGGCAGGACCTGCAGCACGCCCATGCTAGCTGACCTCACCGGACAAGCCAAAGATATACAGTCCCTCAGGTAGCCGGGCACTAAGCCTTCTAGGGGGCAACCTTGAAGTGCCGTTGAAAGGCAACTGGTAACCAGGGTGCCTTGCAAAGCAGCAAAGACGGGTGCCTGTGTGCAGCAAAGGGGGCCTATCAGTCCTCCTCCGGGATCGTCCCCAGGCACTTTGATGGGATGACGGTCCTTAGGCACTTGGAGCAGCCCTGGGAAATCAGGCAGGGCAAAGGCCTCCCCCAAGGGGTGCTTGCTCCCCTCACCTGTTCTCCCAGAGAAGGGCCAAAAAGGTTCTTTGTCAGTTTGCCCAACCAGGCACCCTTCCAGGTGAATTGCAACTCCCCTCGTTGGAGACTCAGCTGCTGGGGGTGGCCTTTCTGGAGGAAAACCCCCTGCCTCTCAGCGTCCTCCACTTTGGGCACCTTCCAACCTTCCTTTCCTGCTCATCTGAAAGGCCCCAATTCCACTTTTCCTCCTGGGAAGGCTGCCGCCAACCCCTCCCCGGCTGGTATTCTCCTCTGACCCCCTTGGAGCCCCAGCTTGATCCCAGGGAAGTAGGAGTGGCCAGCTAGCTGGGCCTGGGGCTCCCCTGGCCGGGCAGTTGGCTTTGGGGCTGTTCTCTGCACTCCCTCTTTAAGCCCCCCCACATCCAAGCCCGTTAGAGCTGGGTGACCTCCGCCCTCGGAAGGTTGCTGGGCGGGTCACTCTGCGAGAGCTTGAGCGTCACCCGGAGCTGCCCGGGAGGCCCTTAGGCGGGAGGAAACCGTCCGGGAAGGAGGGGCCGCGCTTCTGCCCCCGGGTAGAGCTCAGGGGCTTCGGTCCGCTGCCTTGCTCCTGCTTGGCCCCCGGTCACGCCGCCTCCTCGCGGGACAGGCCGATGGTTGGCGCCCGCTCAGCGGCACGGCGGCGCTCCAAGGAACCCGTTTCCTGACCTGCGGCAGAAGCCGCTCATCCCCTTCGCCCGGGTAGACCCCCTTCCCTCTCCCAAGGCGCGGGGCACCTGACCGCGCGGCTGCCCAGTATCAATGCTCGCGCGCCTTCGGGAACGCGCACCCCCCCCGGGATTATAGGCCGGTCGCCGCCGACGCTGCCCCTCCTGCAGAGCCCGGA